TTCAGGCTCCAGGATACAAAAAGAGACCCCAACCACTTCATTCACAATAGCACCTCAAAGGATAGGGACACACCTAGACATCGACAACAAAAGCATTACCACCAGGCTGACTCAATGCGATAGGAATGGATTCCTTACCTGGAGCCATGTCTGGCAAGCTGGAATGAAGTTCATAAAGGTGATTTACAGACCAATAACTCTACACTGAAGCCAAAGGCTAGCTCTACTCCTTCCTCTATACCCCTAACCCACATACATCCAATGTTAATTAGTAGCAAGTGGGAGACAAGGTCCCTAATCTACTCTATGGAAACAACTGAGATAACCTTGGAGTATTCACATTTCTTAATATGGAGAAAGATGTCACATCCAGGTGACACATCTGGCACTCTGATTCAATTCAGGAGCTACCTTCTGTGCAGACTGCCATTACACAGCCTTGAATAAATCATTCTTTGTGCCTCAGTTTCATCATCCATAAAATGAGGCTGAAGGGACAGAGAGGAAGGGACAATACTATTTGACAATCCAGTATATTATTTTATACCTACCGAAATTGAAAAAAAATCAGAGATGCCTACGTTTTTCAAGGATCTGGAAAGCATTTTGCTTCGGTCTATCAAATATATAGAAAACATTGGGCCACTTCTCTCAGACTGTTTTGTAATTAGATGGGGTTCATAATATATCTTCGAACAAGAGAAAATGGAGCTTTCTGATGGTATCAGTTTGATAACCGTAAGCAGTTCACAGTAAGGTAGGAAGGTAGATCTTGGCGGAAGCCAGCACTGCATTTGATGTATTCTTAACTCGGCTAACAGGCAAGCTTTCAAGCCATGTTATCTGCCCCCACATCTTGACCTAATTTAACAAGTTGCCATGGGAGCCCAGTGAAGTTGATGCAATTTTCTTATCTTTGGAGGAAGAATGTAACTGTGCAAGAGAATGAGAAAATTCAGTTTCTAACTGATTTCCACACTTACAGTGCAGTGACTAAGACATCATATGAAGAAGTAAAATGTATTCCTTTGAAGGTTATATGGATGAAGCCCTAGGCTCCTCGTGTAAAGGCGGGAAAACGGGTTCTCTCCCTAGCTTGGAGAATCTAGGCACACACCCTTTAGTTCAGGCTGAGTAATTATGACATAAAGATGCAAGTGCTCCTACTGTATGGCCACACGTACTCTAGAGTAATCGAATTTTAAGGGAATACACAAAAAAGGAGGGCAGAACTTGAGGTAGAAAATAGGTGTGACTTTTATGAGCAATAAAAAGTTTTGCCAATCCTTATACAATGATTTCCACTTTCTAAAGTACTTTTCCAAACTTCAGCTCATCTTAGCATGTCTGCATAAAGTCAGAGACCCATTTATAGGAACTCCAGTCACTGCACGCTCCTCGGGTGATGGAGGGGGCTGAACAGGTATGTTTCATCCCCTCTCCCATTCTCCAGGGTGTATCTGAAATGATAAGGGGCCACAATGAGGGGGAAAGGCAAGGGAACCACCACGTAGAATCAGTTTGCAGTGTGGGCAGATGTTCCCCAGGTATTGAGCACAGGAAAAAAGCCACCAAAATTTGGGCTACCCCCCACATGCCTAACAAATTCTGACCTTCATTCAGACCACAGCAGTCAGAAAATCCAGTTCCAGTCTAAGCACAATTACAATATCTTGAATTTGAAAAGACAGTGAACCCCCAAGGGTTACTAGCACTTATCTGCACTCAACACATGCTCAGAAACATTTGCTGAAATAATTGATTTGCTACAACTGAGCTTTTTCCCCCTATGTCTAGCGTGGTGTCTAGCACTTACTTGTTTAATTAATTGATTTAGTTCAATTACATTTTCACAGATCTCCTACCACCAAGATAAGGATGAGCACTTCCACTTCACTAAAAGTAGAAAAGGGTACAAGGTAAATTTGCCTAAAATCACACAGTGTGTTAGAGATGGGAGGGAGCACAGAGGACTTCTGTTTTCTGGGCTATTGTTCTCACCACCATTTGAGATAGTGTGAAAAGTTAAATGCCCAATTATAAAGAAGAAACAATGGAACAGTAAGATGCTTTGAAAAGTGTTTTTTAAGTCAAATGACTACTTTAGTCTTTGTGATCTTTAACTGATAGTCACTCTCCCTTTTCTTCCACCCACTAAATGTTTTATTCCCTTAGAGAGAGAGAGAGGAAGGAAGGAAGAAAGGTAGGAAGGAAGGAAGAGAAGGAAGGAAGGAGAGAAGGGAGGAAGGAAGAAAGAAGGACAGAAGGAAGGCAGAAAGGAGAGAAGAAAGGAAAGAAGAAAGGAAAGAAGGAGGGAAAGAAGGAGGGAAGGAGGGAGGGAAGGAAGGGCACTATTAAAAACAATCTATCCAAGAGGCTGGCCCTGTGGCATAGTAGTTAAGTTCGGCGCACTCTGCTTCAACGGCCCGGGTTCGCGGGTTCAGATCCTGGACGTGGACCTACACCACTTGTCAGCCATGCTGTGGCGGCGACCCACACACAAAATAGAGGAAGACTGGCACATATGTTAGCTCAGGGCCAACCTTCGTTAGCAAAAAAAAAAGAAAAAAAATCTATCCAAAGGAAGAGTGACATCAAACAGAACTCAGACCTCCAGGACATACCTGTCGGTATTTGTGCAAAAAGAGCTTTCGATGCTCTTCTCTGTTTGGCTCTGAACCTGAAGTTCCAGAGAAGCCTCACAGTGGCATTTTGGTGTTGGCTATATTGACGGCAGTTCATGTCCCTAATTTGTACTTCACACTCATTTCTACACCTTAGAATTTCCAATTCATCCCTTTCCTTCTCTCCTTGAAACTGGGACACTTGGAAAGATCCCCAACTCTCAGATAATTCTTGTCTAGGTACTAAGATCACCTTAGTCAAAACCACTTAAGTCACTCTTGTAGACTCTTAGCCCTGCAGGCTCCTCCCATATAGAAAATCCAACATCTAACACATGTAATACTTTCAGAGAAGTTTCTATTTGAGGTAGAGATCAGGCTTTCACCATTTCTAGAAACTTCTAGACCTTCTGCAGTGTAACCACGGATCCTTACAAGAATCTTATTCCATGAAGGTTGACCTAAATCATAAGGCTTTCTCTGGCCATAACCCAAACTTTAGAACTTAAAAAAGTCAGTTTATTTAATCTCATAATCCACAAAACTGCCCTAACTAGCAAAATTTTCAGAATCACATACCCAGCTAAAAGAGAATGATGAAAGCTGTCATGGGAGAAGAATTATGACTGTGGATGTTGATAGTGGTTATAGTGGTGATTATGTCACGGAGAACAAAGAAATACTTTTAATAAGGAGAAACTAAGTTGAGGATTTGGTACTGGAAGTTAGGGCAGAAGCTGTAGAAGAGCCGGCCTCTATACTTGGGCAAATGACAGAGCAAAGTTTTTCCTGCACCACAAGGACAGAAGCAAGCAAGACCAGTTAGACACCTGCCCCTCCAAGCCCACAAACCATTCAGAGTGACCTCGACTCTTCCTTTCTCTTCCTTATCAAGCAGCACCTTTTCCCTCCTTCATCAGTGTATCCAACCGGAGTCTAGTTCTTAAAGTACCTAAGAGATAACCACAGCAGCCAGCACTCTTGTATATCTTGAAAGAGACTTCATATACTTTTCCAGCTTCTTTAATCCAAATAGGCAAATGTTCTAATTGTCTGCTGTCAGAGATGGGAAAGGACTCCCTTGAAAAGTAGCCAGTTCCACATACCAGTGATGTGCAGGCAAAGACCATGGCGGATAGTGTAGAAAGAATAGCGCAGCGGACCTTTAAGTTCCTTTCCCGGCCCATGACTCCATATAGAGACCGAGTCCTACCTCAAAACCAGACACAACTCCTACTCATGCAAAGAACTGCACTAGGAGCTACGCAGCACGCAACATAGACACGCAATTCTGATCTTTGAAGGAGGAGTAATTTTTCTAAGCATCTGAGTTGTTCTCAAAGGTTAGAAGCCCTGGACACACGAATAAGGATCTAGGCACACTCTTAAGATCAGACACCTCGATAGAAACGCAGATTTTGCTGTCTGTCACGATTCACACAAAGGGTCCCCACATGGTAACCTGTTCAGGGTGGAGTAAATTATAAGAGAATAGAGGCCTAGACCACAGCTGGGTAATCAAAGCTTAAAATAAGCTCCACTCACAATACACCTTCTAATTTGTAGAAAACAACACAATCCTACAGAGAGGATCTGATAATTAGCACATTAATGCTCCTTGGACATTTCTCAAATACACTCTTCAAATGTTTCCAGGGTTAGGCAGCACATGCGCGACAATCCATTAGAACAATGAACTGTTTTATTCTATTACCAGATTCTCAATCAAAGCCCAAGCTTTCAACCTACATCTTCCTTTCTCTACAATCTTTCTTCACTCACCACTACTACAACTTTCACTCTGGTAGAAAATTGATAAGAAAAGCTAAGTGAGAAAAAAGATTTCCCATACAGGCCAGGATCTGGACAGAGTTCAGGGTGACTAAGAACACTTTTCCCAATTGCACAGCTGGCCTAATGAGTATTCTACTACACAAGATCCTAGAATGTAGGCCATTCAGTGATGCCTTTGAGAGATGTTGTTTCTGGTTTTGTGTTTAGAAAGACCTCCAGAGAGCAGGCTAGGAAAAGTCCGTTGATGCTAGGCCAGTCGGCAAAGTTTCCAGAAATACCATATGAATATAATTCCCTTCCCCCAGATAGGGAAAAAGGTCCAAAATACAAGTTTTTCCTACCACTCTTGGAAATGATCCCTTGAGGCAGAATGATACTGTTTGCGTCCAAAATTCAATGGCTATTCACAAGCAGAGTGGCTTGAGAGACTGACCAGACCCCTTAGAGTCTTCTTCTCCCCAGTACCCCCAGAAAGAAAGAGGCTGACTTCAGTCTCTGGTAATACTCGCACAGGGCCTTCCACTGAGCCCACCCACAGCAACACGCACACAGAGGCTGCGGAGGTAGGGGCAGGGCGCCTACCTGTGTAGCCAGCCAGGGCAGCAGCAGGAATGACAGGCTTGTCCTTGTTGAGGTCAGCACGGTCACGCACATAGTCCTTGAAGGTGCCCTTGGGCTTGTGGTTGGGCAGGGCGGCTGGATAGTCCTCTGAGTCGAAGCTGTCATAGGAGGGAACGCGCTGCAGGCTGTTGAAAGATGACTGGCTGCTCCAGGACTGGGTGAGGCGATCACAACTATCGTAGCTCTCTATGCTCTCAAAAGAGTCCTGGCCCCCGAGTTTACCTGGAGGTAAAGGAGGAGGTAGGAAGAGGGCAGGGGAGGAGGGATTGGGAAAAGACAACTGTAAAAACCCTCTTAGCCAGGACAGATTGCTGATCAGGGCCTCAAGAGGCACAGAAGAAGGGATAGGCCATGGGGAAGGGATGCTCCAAGGCTACGGGGTCGCTGTGGGGAGGGGGCTGCGCTGGGTCACAATCTGAAAGTCCACTGCCACTGTGCTGTCCTGTTTTATAGCTCCAAGGACAGAGACTCAGAATCAAATGCTGCTCCCATCTGTCAGAGAGAGACAGCTCTAGACCTCAAGAATTCTAGAGCTAGAAACGTAAAAGCTGAGAATCACACGTTATTATGGGATTTCTGGCCGATGTAGTAGATCCAACGAATCAATGAAGAAACCGGAGCAGTCAAGCTCAATTCCCTATTCCAATTCAAGCCAATGAGATGATTTCAAAAGGCCCAATTTGGCAAAATATTTTGGTCATAAGGAAAAAAATTTCATTAGACTAAGAGCAGATTGACCTTCTTTGACCTTGGAATTAAAGTGTTATTTTTTAGCATTTTTCCCAAATACTATTTAAAAATGAAATACATGTACTGCCTCTATGCCTTCTCAAATAGAAAAAGAAGTTATAAGGTGCTTTTTCCAGAAGATTAAAAAAAACACTATTACTCTTCTAAACAGAAATTCATATTCTTTATCTCCTCCAAATACAACCCTGTACTTGAAATTTATACTTCATTGGGGAAGCGCAGGCAATAAAAAACAAAGGAGTTGATTCAAGAGTTAAGGTCCACAGCAGTGTCAGAAATCCTTTACTCTGTGAGTTGCTTAAGGCATTCTTAACTGACCACAAGATCATGCAAGTTCATTAATTTCCCAAACCAGGTTATAAACAGCTGCTATGATTGCATAATAGCTCCTAGAGAAATTTCCATTGGCAAAAATGCCATTAAAAAGGAGGCTAACGAAAAACTTTTGGGAGGAAAATAAATGCATCTAAGAGCTGAAAAGGCTCAAAGGAATATTTTCTATGTTCTACTTTCAGATACTTTTCAGGCAATCTAAATTAATCATGGGAGACTAAATGGCCACCTCAATTCAACACAGGTCAAGAGACAAAAGGATGTGACAAATGTGTGTGCAGAATTACTTGTAAGTCAACTCTCAATTGGTCAGCAGTGGCTGATCTACTATAAATTTTAAATCCCAGAATAAGGTTGGCCTATACAACCTAGTATTAGTGTGTTTCTGGTATATTCTCCCCTTCATAATGGTGGAGATTGGTTAAAACAATGAAATTCAAATATGAACAAGTGTCCAAACCAAAATTAAATATATAGTAATTAGGAAGGAAAATATGTTGCTCCCAAAATTTAAAAAAAAAAAAAAAATTCCAGATAAAATGCATTCAGTTAAGTATGTAATTTTTGTGTAATCCACTGTTATAGATTTCCTGAACCTACCATCCCCTCCAGTACTGCTTATAACAGAAAGGTAGTTATTTTTCTACTTTGTCTCATTCCTTCCTCCAATCATCCACTCAAAGAAGGGTACTCTCCAGAAGGCAAATTGAACAGCTTCATGGAGTTATCAGCCCTGCCTACTCAGTCCACTATCACATTTGCAACTCTTTATTATTATTAAAAATAAAGGAATTGTCTGTCCCAGAAATTCACATTAAATGACTCAAGAAAACAGCCCACAACCAGAAGGCAACAGCCTCTTTTTAATAGAACAGGAAATTTTGTAACATCTCATAAAAAAGGTGTTTGCTCATACCAGCTACCCATCTTAATGGTCATTCAATTTCTCTATGAAACAAACACACCAAATGCCTAAGAAAGAGAATTTATATTTTCATGAAGAACACCTCACCAAGTCCCCAATATTTAGGCAGTATTATATACTTAAGTCTCTCTGAAACGACCCTATCTCTATCAGCCACTTTTATATTTGAAGGGGAAGGAGACTGGAATTTCCACAAGCGAGCTAGTTGAGTTTCCAAGGAGTCCCAGTAAGCAAGGGCACTAACCTGGGCCATCACCACTCTCTGGCAGCCTCTCAAACATGAGCCAAAGGCAACTCTGCTGAGAGTTGTGGTTTATAGCAGTAGGCTGCTTTCATTTTAGCTCTATTTCACAATCCTGGAGCTGGGAACCTTCGTTTACGGGTATTTTCTCCAAAAATGGGTTGAATCCAAGTGGATTAGGCACTCAGTTATGCTACTGTGCTCATGCAGGGAAGCGTGTGTCCTCTAAGACGTCCATTGGCCAGCCTTTCTGAGAAACATCTCAGCAAGGTCCTTCCAAAGCTATCTGACTTCACCAAACAGACCTCAGAGCACTCAAAACAGTAGATGGGGTAGCCCCACAGCAACCAACTAGCACAAAGACAGTTCTCAGAGCCCAAAGAAGTGGGACATTGAAGCACTTTGTATACTGTAATGCAGTATATGAATACTATGATTATTATTAACAATAATCAGCTAACAGGAATGCTTTCAGTCTAGACCAATCATACGATGTCGGATTCAATCAGCCCTTGGAATATGTCCTGTTTGCAGCACTTCTAACACGCAAGAAACAGCCGTGAACAAAACGGTCTTCCTCTCCCATCTGTGTGGTCTAGAGCTTGGTGTGAGGGAGGCAGAATGAGGCCAGAGAGAAATACCCCATATCCCTTTGTATGGGTCACTATCTGGTCCACAGTCATTAATTTGGGGTCGGAGGGGTGGTAGGGACCAAAACCAAGAACCAAGAGAAGGAGAGGGAGAAGGAACAATCACACAAATGCAAAGCCAGACGCAATTTAAACACGTGACAGCAGATCTACGCGAAGTTACAACAAGGCTGAGCCCCAACCCGCAGACTCAGCCTCATCGCATACATACACAGAAAGCCCCATGAGAAAGTTGTTCTACTGCTTTAATCTGCCTGAGAAAAAAGATGCACATACACATGTGCGTACGTATTTAAATAGACATGCATCCAAAAATAAAAAGAGTCAGAAAGGGGAAGGCAAAACTGGTCCCACCCTTCAGTCTGAAACACAAACACCCTGGGGCCCCAAGAAGGAAGATTATAGGTTCAGATTTTGCTGGGGACTTTCCCTATGCAGGGCCTGCTGGTTATCCTAAGGCCTGCTGGGAGGAAGCCAGAGCCTGAACACTCAAAGAAGATGACAATGGGGATGGCCTGTGATGCCTACGGGGTGAGTCTTCAAAGAAAAGATGACTTTGCGCTCCCGTCCGAGAGCCTCAGAAAAGCCGGCAGGGTCATCACTGGGCAGAACCCACTCTGAGGCCAGCCAAGCCTGACTTCTGTGACCACAGCCCTCTGCGCACCCCTTGGATGGCCTTTCTCATGTTTCTCTTCCTGTTTGTAATTCTTTCCCGTTTATCCATCGGAAAAATCATCTTTTTCAACTTTTTAGAAATCAGCTAGTTCTTCCTGGATGAACAAATTCTTCCTTACGATGATGGACTGCACTTTTCTCAGAAACAAAACAATTAGGACACTTTACTAGGTGGGCTGCACCTCTGTGTTTATGTCCTGATCTTAAAAATTGGGTGTATTTAACCTTTTTTGCTTTACAAAGTCAGCAAGCTCTATTTTGAAACATTTACTTCACTGTCAGTGAATATTTTATCATTGTCATAATAGTCATGTCAACAAGAGTACCTTCTTTTGGAAGCCTCTGGCCACCTCCTTCCCTGGTCCTCTAGCTAAATACACACTTTCACCACAGTGCTGATGACTGGTTCCAAATAAACCACTGGTTAACCATCTTGGATCTTCCCAAACCAAAGAAGTCACAGGAGGCGAGAGATCCCAGGCCGGGAAGCAGAGGTCAGACACCAAGCCAGGATTTGCAGTCTGACCCAAGAATACTCTGGGAGCAACATCAGGACACATGCAAAGCTAAGGGCTTTTCAGGAAGTCACCTGAACCATTTTTATTTGATTGCGTCCTCCTTAAGAAAAAATCCTCTCAAAGAAAATAAAACATACCTTAAAAAACAACCACATTCAACTAGAGTTACTATTTGATAAAATGTTTTACACAAATAAGAAATTAGATTGGTAATCCTGCCAGATTTCATTTTCACCAGGGACCCATGGTCTTTGTCATCATGATAGACTTGGCTAAAATTCCATGATTGAAAGTTCTTAATATCTAGATATTCTAAGACAGAAAGGCTGAAACTCAGAAATGTACAGGGCCAATAGTGAGAAAAGAAAAGGGGCCTGAAAAACTCACTAAGTTAGGTAATTTTTGGAAACTCCAGAGCTTCTAGAAAAGAAATCTGACCTACCACGACTGGTCCTCCCCATGCACATGTTGTCTGGGGTTACAACTTCTTGTTTGATGGCAAAGTAGTCCGTCTGCAAGGTGTCTGTCTGCAAAGGGTCCCGGAGAATGACGGAGGGGTAGTCATTCTCATACTTGAGGGAGAGGAGTTCCTCCGAACTGATAGGATGGAGGGTCTGGTAGGACTCTGTGATGAAGCTAGGCTCTGAGAACTCCGACGGAGGAACACACTGGGCATGCTCGATACCATAGCCTGGAAACAGAGAGTGTTAGCAACTGGAGAAAGGAGAGATTTGTACCTAAAACAAGCAGTTCTTCACCATTTACAACAGCCACCCACGTGAAACAAGCTGACTACCTTCGAGAATTAAAGGAAAACATTCTAAGTCAGAAGGGCCTGGGTTTTTAATCTTGCTCTACTACTTAATAGCTATGGCCCTTGACAAGATACTTCCCTTTTCTGACTTAATTTCCTCATCCCTAAAATAGGGGTGATTGCAATCTTCCTCAGTGTTGTGATGAAGATCAAATGAGAGTATATACGTAAAATGCCTACCAACATTTCTGGCACACAATAAGCTCTTGCTACATAGTAGTTAATATTGTTGTTGTTAGAATAAAAATCACAATAAAGAGACGAAATGAAAACAAACCTGCTTAAGACTCCCTTTGAAAGCAAGGCCTGCAAGGCCATCAGATAAGAAGAGCCCTACACTAACTCTCTTCCTCTGCTACCTCTCCAGTATGGTTAGGTATCACATACTGGAAGGGAGAGGGCTTCATTTTCTCTTACAGAATTTAAAGCTGCAGGGCACACTCTTGAGGAAAGATTTCAGAGGAAATGCCGCCATATCTACTAGTAAAAGGGAAAGAACAAGGGCCAAGACCAAATGCCTAACCCAACCTCTGACAGCCACCACAGTGCACAGACCAAACAAGATCAAAGGTTAGGAGTCAAGTTGTCATCTCTCTGTGTGACTTTCATGCTGAAGATATCGGAGAGAGATCCTAGTGTGTAGGAGCTTGCAGGTTAATAAAACGTCCGAATAGGTTGATGTTTTGTGCTTTGTGGGCATAACAAAAAAAATAACAAAGAATCTACACTTAAGAAAATATTATTTTTCATAGAATTACCATGAAGGAGCCTGAGATCAACTAGGACAAGGATCCTTTCCTAAGTTTCCATCATAACGAGCATGATGAGGGAAGAAGAGAGGAAGACGAACTTACTAATGAAGTAATCCGAGGTATAACGGGATTCTGGATAGGTAGGGTTGACTCCATTAACTTGATATGGTTTCACATCCTCTGCAACAGACAAGGTAGGAATGGAAACAGAGGTCAATAAGCAAGTAAGCCTTGGCCTAAAAGGATTTTGGAGGCCAGCACGACAATGATCTCAGTCCCTCTTATAAGAATCTGCATGTTCAGTAACAGGGGCCCAGTCTAGAGATGAGATCACAAAAGTATGGCTAAGTTTATTATTTCAGTAGCTGAAAAATGGAATTTAACATCTTGGAAAGAGCATCAGTGAGCAATCTCTAAGGGTTAGGAAGGCATTTCCATCCTCATTCTGATGTGTGTGTGTACCACATTAGCATCAAAGGCTTGAAGAATCTTGGGAAGTTACCAAACTCAGCCCCCAATGCTCAAACTGATCAGTTTCAAAACTTTTCAGAAATATATTAAATCTTTAAGCAGGTAAATTTTATAGCCTCCATTTCTTCTAACCAATATCTGTTTTTTTGTGTTGGGTTTTTTCCATTGCCGTCAGATTTCAAGTTCAGGCCCAGATAAGAAGCAGGACATTGGTAAGGTGACTCTGGTGAAATATGACAGGGCTCATGCCAAGAGAAAGAAGAGTAATATAATTGAACTGATGCCCAGGTGCCAGCTTCCCTAGGAAAGAGAAAGGATGTGGATGAAGGAAACCAAGCACAGAAAGGCTCTCTCTCCACTGAACTGACATGAGCTTGAGCATCCCCTAATGACCCTGGAATCAAATGGTGTGGCCTCTGGCCATTGCATGGAGTAGTCTGATCATATTTCACTCGAAGAATCAGACATAAAGAGAGAGTACTGGTTTGGGTTTTCCTCAGGTATTTGATAGCTTGCTGGGAGCAGAGACTGCTGGGAAAACAAGTTTATGCCTGCACAGAAAAACAGCTCCCAGTTGAGATAAAATGATTAAACTTTGTTTTAGCTGCTTATCAGATTAAAACATCCCCTGTACCTTTGGCCTTCCACCCCACCCCAAACAGCTATGTTTTTTGGTGCTGTGTTGCTTTAGTTTAATTATAGAACAAAAGCTGTAGCCTTGATACAAACATCTTGCTCAGCTCTTCAAGGATCTGAAGACAAATGATTCTTACTGCCTCTCTCAATAGAAAATGGGTGGGATGATATGACTTTTGTTCTCAAACAATTATGTTCTCAAACATACTCAATTATTTCCTAATTCTTCTAAACTATTCCTTTGTGGGAAGGTAGGCCAAACCCGTCTTGGGGGCCCAGAAGCTCTCCCATGAATCCATATTACTATACAAAAAACACAAGACAGGAAGTTAAATTGAAAAGACCCAGGTTTAAGGAAATGAGTGATGTTGAGGAAACCACCTAAGCTGTCCTCATTCTACAGATAAGGACACTAACAGTACATGCCCTTCCCATCTCCCAGGGTTGTTCTGAGAATCCAAAATGTACTTGAAAGCACTTTGGGAACCAGGAAATGCTATATAGATATTAATTATAACTCGGATCAGAGGCAGGCCTAGACACTCCAGAACACCTCGCCGCTCCATGGTGATGAACAGAGGGAGACAGTATATTAGTAGAATATATTTGGGTTACATGTTCTGCTAGAATCCACTGCTGTGTTTAAAAGCCAACAGTCACATCAGATCTGTTATGAGCATGCCATATCTTTTCCCTCTCTAAACAGGCCGCTTACGTCAACACGTATGAGTGGGCGTTGGTACAGATACACGGAGAACATGCTGGTGCTTCGGGGAAGCCTGCGCAGCTGCCCAGCAGGCCTCGCAATGGCAGCCACAGCGAGACTCCCTTAGTTCTCTACCGTGTTTATTTATTTATTTTTCAGCAGAAGCTGAAGAGAAGGAGGAAAGATAACACTTCTGTGCCCAGAGGAATCTAATTTGGGTCTCTCTTGAGGGTTGCAGAGTGGAAAATATCCTTAAACAAAGAAAGGCATTATATGGATAAAAGTGCTAATCCTGAGCTTCGCTGCCTGCCCCCAGCGTCTGCGCCAGGGGTTGGAGCTGGTGACCACAGGGAAAGGGTGGGCCTGGGTCAGAGAGGGCAATGGGCTTCTAGGCTTACAGTCAGCTGGAGGGCACTGCTGACTGCTGGTAACTGCCATTTATTTTAAGAAGAAATTCAGAAAAATAAGCGCAAAAACACCCAAGTTTGCCGCCTGCTGCTGTTTCTATACTCAGCCAGGACTGTGGTACATGAGTCACTTGGTCCAAAAAGGTTGGAAGAGGCTGGTAGGGGAGGCCATGTCACTACAAGGTTGCAACCCAGCGTCCTGACATAACCCCACTTTCTGCTCCAGATGAAAAAGGTACACCGCACTACTGCAATTCCAGTCCAGTTAGTGGGCAGAGAAGCCCGGCTTGTTAATAAGCTCTGAGAAACGGAGCTTTCATGTGGATGTGGCCAGGTATCACACCGCCATGGATCAAGGGAGTGTGTATTAAGATTGCCAAAAAAAACCCACACAACTATCTTGGCTGGGTGTGGGCACTGCTTGTTCAAACAGTACATGAGTCGAAGATAAGGACTGGGATCAGAATTGGGACAAGAAGCTTCAGGAGTACAATCTTGCTAAAGATAAAATCTGAACCTCCAATACACAGAAAGAAACTAGCATTTCTTGAGCACCTGCTGTATGCCAGGCACTGCACTGCATGTCTCTGTAGGCCATATCCGCTGTGATAGGACACCCACAGGCAAGGCATCAAGGTCCCACCATCAGGTACGTCCCCTACCTACTCTCGCAGCAACCTCACACAGCATCCACTTCAATCTGTCCCCACACATTTACCTTTCTGCAGGATCTCAAGATGTTCCCACAAGATGTCCCCAACAAAGTCTGGGGCCAGCTCGAGAAAGCAGTCTTTCCCCAGTGCACAGAGGGCTGCTCCGTTCATACAGAACTTCTGGAAGTCCACACCCTTCAGGCTGAACTCGTTCACAGCCCACATCACCCAGTCCCGAACATGGGTTTCTGTCCACTGCCGGGGGTCTAAGGGAAGAGACCAAATGAAAATCCAGCGTGTCAGGCTCTTCACTCTTACCTGAGCCTCAGAGAGGACACACAATGACCTGAACTCAGCTGAGGATGTTCTCCGATTTACAGAATTAGCAAGCACCACCTGTAAATTCATGTGGTGGGGCACCTTCCATTACCCTCTCCTCCCCACATTCAACATCCCCACCTTCTCTATCTCGCCAGCTAGGAAATGACTGTCATCAGCCAAAAAGTAACACACGTGTATTTCCTACCCTCCATTCAGAGAAAGACTGCATGAATCCTCTCTCTCACTGCCTTATTTCCATTAGATCTTTTATTAAAGCTGGAACAAGGGAACAAACAGCTGCTTTAATAGCAATAATAACAAAGTCAAGAGTCCTCTGGAGATCGCACTCACCTCCTCTGCTCTTAACTCTTATACTATACTTGAGAACATTATACTTAATTATTTTTATCTTTGCTAATTATGGTTAGTAATAATCATAACAATTAGTAATAGTCATTCAAATGGTACTTAGTAGTAACAATATTATTAGGTGCCTGTAATATACCAGATACCCGGCAAAGTATATACATATCAGAGGCCCCACGTTGAGTAGCACTGCGGAACAGACAATACACAATCTTCATACGTGGCTCGAGGTTTAACATGGCTACACCAGCCAATGGCACTTAAAGAGCTCAGATGATGGCAGGCTGTGGTGCCCACATCACACCTGCTCTCAAGGTTACCCCCTTCAATCTCACAGATGACTTTGTGAGATGCTGGAAAACACAGTGGTCAGAATTCGCTTTGTTCTGCCTTGTGATCCTAAAAGGATGTTGGGCACTGCTGTCAGCTGAGGTTTGTGGTAAATTACTATACATGGGAAAAGGTGTACAGACACATTCACAGAATCTGTCTAAGGCGTGGGTCTGACTGCCCTGGAAGCCTCTCACATAGCAGTAAAACTGGCCTGGTCTAAAGACAGCATTACTCTTACTCAATAGAAAAGTGTTCTTTCTGCTCTCAATTGTTCAGGAAATGTTGCTTGGTGAAGGCTTAAGTGTTCCCCAGTCATTTCTCCTTTCTGACATCTCTAGTCCCCTTACATTCCTGAATAAACCCTTTCAGATGAGAACACCCAAGTATAAAAACATTTCACCAAAGTACATGGAAAAGAAAAGCGCAATCAGAAAATTCCAAGAAATGCAGGTCACTGAGATCATCCAATGGTGGCCCAGGACAACTCCAAGACAGGGTTTTCCAAACCTGTCTCTACTTGAGAATCACTTGAGGAGCTTCAAAAATACTGGTGCTACCAGCAATTGTGATTAAACTGGTCTGGGGTAGGGCCTGGGCTGTGGAATTTTTTGAAGATCTTGAATCTAATGTGCAACCAAATTTGGGAACCACTGCCCTAAGATCAAGATGGCAGTGACAAACCTGGGGCACGGAGAAGCATTAGCACGTGTCCATGATTGTTCTAACAGTTGACTACCACCGCCTGCAGCTGCTGACTGAAGTGTGGTTAGTAATAATGTCTATCTCACACTACAAATGAGAAAACTAACTTCACCTAAAGTCTGATCCCAGCCTCTCTTTTTCAAACTACAAAACATACCTTTTGGAATTCCCAGTCGTTGCTGTTCTTTAGAGAAACCACTGAAAGTAGCTTTCAATGCTTGAGACATCATTTCTTTGCTGCTTGGAGTTAATAGTGGGACATCTGCACATTCCATATCTGTAAGAAAAAAATACCATATGAATAATAAAAACTAAACAGGTGATGGATGTTAGCTAGACTTATTGTGATCATTTTGAAATATATACAAATATCAAATCATTATGTTGTACATCTGAAACTAATATAATGTTATATGTCAATATCTCAATTTAAAAGAAACTAAATGGTAATTAACCACCCATAACACATAATAGGGCATGGATGGTCTAAAGAAGGCAAGCTGAGATATAACTGTATTAACATCTTCACCAGGGCAGGTAAAATTTGGGGGGCTTTCCACAGTGAGCTAGGCCCCTTAAAAAAAAGCTGACTGTTGCCTAGAATGTTCTGCATCCCTGGCAAACAAAATATATTTATTCTTTCTATATATATCTACTAATTCACCCTCCCTACTTATCCTTCACACTCACTGAGACTATTAATGTTACTACATACTTCCAGTTACCTATGAAAAGAAAATAACAATATTCATTCATTCAAAAAATAATTATTTGGCACTTACTATGTGCAAGGAATTAGAGAAACAGCAGTGAAGAAGACAGAAATGATCCCTACCCTCACGGAGTTGTATATCAGATTCTGACAGGGGATTCAGTCATTAAAAAACTATTTACACAGTTAAACGTTCAAGTACAATATCAATAAGGGCTTCAAAGGAGAAGTAGAAGATGAAACATTAACATATAACGAGAATTCCTGCAAGTCTGGAGGAATCAGAGAAGGTCTCTCTTAGGAGAAGAGAGATGTCTGACCTCAGATCTAATAGATGCATAGAAGTTTAAAAAAGGAAAATCACTCTAAACAAGTGGTTCTCAAAGTGTGGTCCCCAGACCAGCTGCAACAGCATCACCTGGAAATCATGAGAAATGCAAATTTCCAGCCCCACTCCAGACCTCTGGACCTGGACCTCACCTAGACTTTTTAACACAGAATCTATCTAGGTGATCCTGATGACCACTAAAGTTAGGAGACCATGATCCTGGATAAAGGGAATAGCATAAATGAAGGTCATGAGAGAGGGGCGGCGGGGGGGGATGCACTTGGCATGTTTTAGGACCAAAAAGATCAATGCAGCTGGAGCAGAGTGATCAGGAGGACAGCTGCTTGAGACGTGGTTGAAGAGGTAAGCAAGAAGTATATTAAGGAATTTATAATTTTATCCTAAGTAAAACAGAAAGTCATTGAGAGTTTTATGCAGAGGAATGACATGACTACTTTATTTTAAGAAGCTCGCCTTATGGTAATTCTATTTTTAATTTTTCAAGGAAGCCATACTGTTTTCCTCGAAGTGGCTGCATGATTTTACATTTCCACCAACGTTGCATAAGGATTCCACATCCTTGCCAACACTTGTAATTTTCTGTTGTTTTGATAGTAGTTTTGATTTGCATTCTTTTGTTGTAGTTTTGATTCGCATTTCCCTAATGATTACTGATGCTGAACATCTTTCCATGTGCTTATTGGCCATTTGTATATCTTCTTTGGAGAATGTTTATTCAAGTATTTTGACATTTTTTAATAAAGTTGTTTGTTTTTTTGTTGAGTTTTAGGAGTTCTCCATATACCCAAAAGAGTTGAAAGCAGGGTCTCGAAGAGATATTAGTATACTGATGTTCATAGCAGTATTATTCACAATAGCTAAATGTGGAAACAACCCAAGTGTCCATCAACACATGAATGGATATGTAAAATACATACAATGGAATATTATTGAGCCTTAAAAATGAAGGAAATCGTGACATATACTACCACATAGATGACCCTTCACATTACGCTAAGTGAAATAAGTCAGTCACACACAAAAAAATTTTTTTTGAGGTACTTGGAATAGTTGAATTCATAGAGACAAAGTAGAATGGTGGCTGCTAGGGTCTGGAGGGAGGAAGGGAATGGGGAGTTGTTATTTAACAGGTACAGAGTTTCAGTTTCACAAGATGAAAAGACTTCTGGAGATGGATAGTGGTGATTGTTGCATAACATTATGAATGTACTTAATACCAGTGAACTGTATACTTAAAAACGGCCAAGATGGTAAATTTTATGCTACGCTTAGTTTACTACAATACAAAAAATGGGGGAAAAAAGATTACCCTAGCTGCTCTGTAAAGAATGGTTTAGGAAATAACTATAAATGGATGTGGGAAGGCTTGTTAAAAAGTTATTGCATTAACTGTGGTGAGAGATGATGGTGGCTTTGACTAGGAAGGCAGCAATGCAGATAATATAAAGTGGACAAATTTGAAGTGCATACAGGAGGTAATATCTATAAAATATGATTCATGTAGGTGGTGAAGACGAAGAGAGGTATCAAAATCTGAAGATTCACAGATGTGTTATCCTTTGCTCTACCCACATGTATCTTTATCTCTGCTATGTCCAATCCCTCTTGTACTTGCAGACATGTTCAAAGCACAGATACACAAATATGGCTCAAGTTAAACACCCTCTGAATTCACCTCAGGCACAACTTCCCACAAAAAGCTAGTGAGCAAAGAAATGACCTGAGAATTCCTCCTAGCCTTCTTGTGATCATTAGGCAGCAACACACTTTACTGTAGTAATTTCCAGAAGCCTGCTTCCTCAGCGTGAATCTTCAGTGTATCATATGAAACTAACTTATGAAATGGCTGTGTTCCATTCTTAGCTACTGTAGAAGTTCCTCAACTAACCATCTCTAAACCCTGGCTGGTTAAGAAATTCCCTGGACAGACATAACGTGTTATTGGCTGAATAAAATGGAAACATCAAAGGGGAAAGATGACAATTGGTGACCTCTGGAAAAAGGAGCAAATACATTGCCTCTGAATGTCGAAATAAATGAAAATTACATTGCAAGAAAGAAGGGCAGGCAGCACCTTCCCTAGGGTTTGCACGGAGTGAGGCTGTCAGGAAACTGCTTCGAGTCCAGCCTCCGCCCTGAAAGACGGAGGATTCACTGCAGCTGCTCTCCCAGGCCCCGAATGGAGCGGGAATCCGCAGTTCTAGGGAGTGGACAGTTTGGTTGCCCTGGGATATGCCCAAAAAAATCTAGTGGAAAAATCAACACTGCCTCCAGGAAGGTTGACAAAATGATGGAAAATCCCAGATTGTTAGGGGGGGAAAATGAGGGGAGGGGATAAAATGTTGATTACATAACATCTAGCCCTTCAAACAATGGAGTAATCAAATGAGTCACTAAGAAAGACATCAACGCTCCCCCTTCATCCCCACTCTACACACCCAAGAATAGCTAAGTGGCAGGTCCAGAAATGTCTCCCCTTAAAGCAGAAGTCAGTTTTACTTAAGAGAAAGGGACTCTTTATTTAACCCAAGAGTATTACTTCTGAAAGCAATACCAAGGCAGCCGAGGCATCCCCAGCTCCTAGTACAGGGTGAAACACAGGAGTCAATCAATAAATGTTTAGTGAATTTTAAATGTTTTCCAAATTTGAATCAACTTTCCTTCTCTTCACTCCCATCCAACACAAATTTATGACTTTGAGCTATGTGGGTTTTGTGTGTTTGTTCCTCCGTTAGATTTATGACTCGATGAAAAAGACTTTATTGATGGCAGAAATTAGCCAGGACAACACACGTGGAAAACCCAGCCCAGGCCAAGTGGACAAGCAGCAGTTCTGCTGGACACTGGACCCGAAGGATGAGCCTGGCTAGGAGGCCCAGGCATCTTCTAAACAGGAAAGCTGGGGCGGTCTGATTCCAGGGTGATGTGAAGGCCAAGGACGACGGCAGAAAGTCCAAGAAAGAGGCTTCTCGAGTCTGCTTCCTATAACTCCATATACTCTGGCAGGATGGGCTGGACAGGGCCGCTGGGCTGACAGCTCTCCACTCTGGTTTCTGCTTCCTGTCAGGGAGCGGGCATTTCCAGGTTCTCACTTGCTCTCTCCAAGGCAAGCAGCTAGAATTATTTTGCCTGTCCACCTCAATGCCAACTCCAAAAGCCCGGTCTACATGCCTGCCTCTGCTCCTGGTGAGCACTCTGCTCACAGCCCAGCTGATGAAAGCCAACCCCGCACACTTGGGACCTGCATTTGGACTCATGAGCTCAGGAGAAGGCATATTATTGCCTTTGGACGAAAAGGATTCAGACAGGGAAGTCCGAGCCTTATCCATGTTTATGAAGTGTGGAATTTTGGTTTAAAAAAAAAAAAAAAACTCCTCTATAAGTGAGTGAACAACTAGCCAGGACTGTCTTTTTCAGTACAAAGGCATTGTGTTTAAATGATGAATAACCACATTCAAAAGTGGATATTAGTATAAGATATTAAACTCCTATCATGTAAAATATGAATGCGAAAATTCCCTCTATGTTGCTAGTTTATCAGTGTAGCAGTTCTGTTAATTATACTGATCAACAATAATAGTGAAATCACTACATGAGTGTAGAATCTGATGTGGTTTAGCCCAAGCAGGCATCTCTGTTATTCTTAACATACTTTATCTCATTACCTATTAGAATACTTTTGCATTAGGTACCAAATATTTCTAATTTTAGGAAGAGTATCTAGAAATTAATGTTTCCATAGAAATTAACTAATTGTATTTAATGGACAAGTACTAAATTGCCTTTGTGTTAATAATTGTAATTGCAATATCTTAAATTCAAATAACACATTTGTTTCAAAATGCTGAGAATCTGACCTGGAGATATACTATGCTAATAGAATGGAGACTGTAAACACAGTGCACTAGAAATTGAACACATAAATATATTACAAATACATTAGATTTCTTACCCACTGATTATTCCTCAGGACCCTAAATCTAAGTTAATATTTATAAGAATCACCCTAAGTTTGTGAGAGGAGAATTGTGCGGAAGCTAGTCAATAGATAACAGTCCCAAACTCTGTCTCTCCAAGACTGCACAGTATGGAGGCAGAAATGAGCAGGTAGCTCTCCTTGAATCAGTGGGGGCATAAAGAGCCAGCGGCCTTTTGAATGCAGGGAAACACCTGCTCATTTTCCATTGTGGCCCAATCCAGAACAAATGCTTACACA